CAGCAGTAAAGTGTGTATACAGCGTGTCTGTAAAATGTATGCACCATCATTCCTGGTGTAAAAACACGATGATTTAAGCTAATTTGTCTAATGTAAAAGTGAACGGTTTTCGAAGCACAAAACCATTGTATTTTATTAACGTTTGAAGTGATTTCGAAGTCTTCATTATTTACGCGCGTTGACTTCATCATGGACTTTAGAGTCCCCCATAACAAATAATGAAAAATCAGGTAAACTTGAAATATTTCAAAATTTAATGCCGGTAGAAACTTCTTTTAAGAAACGAAGAAACCGCTTTTTTCATAAAACATGTGCACGAGCAAAAATCTGGTCAAAACTTATTGTAATGCTGAAAAAAATTGCCATTCTCAATAGTATTTGCATATTGGTTAACGCATTTTTAATCCTTGCCCCATAACAAACAAAACGTTTTCTCCCATTTTTAATTCTTAACTTTGACGCCCTGGATTTGGAAAACCGTCCGTCCAGTTTTAGATTGAACAAATGAGTAGTACGATCATCATGTTTCCACAGCTTTTACTTGATCCTCAGGTATTTTGCACGGATACTTTCGGCCACTTTAGAGTATAAAACGATCTAAATTATAAAATGATATAAATAATCTAAAATGGTTCAAGAAATATAACAGATTTATCTAAGGTGAGCATTCAAAATTGTCAATGGACGTTACTCGGAGTTGGTTTCTAATTCATAAATTTTGCTACTCCGTTGAAAAGTCGGGTTCGAATCGTCGAAAATATCAGCTAAACTTGCAAATGGGTTCAAATCCGTGTCTGTGGTCGAGTTTTGCTGTCACAAGCTAAAGAATGCGCAAACATTTCTGGGCTCTTTCACAGTCGCACACAAGAACAGTTTAATCCGGCTCGAAGGACCAAACGCGTGCGAGTTTGAGGCAGGTTATGAGATTTTTTCAGGCTCTGTTTTCTTAAAACTTCCTCTTGCTGAGTGGTAAAATTAATAAATTAATTTGTAATTACTGCTGATTTGTGACACTAGACTATTAACTAAAAGGACTGGAGACATTGGGTTTACGAAATATGTTTTTAAATCGCTCATTTTACCAGTGGCGTGGACACTGGGGACCAAATAATCCTTCTCAAAGTGTGCAAAAGTTCAGTGGTTCATCTGAAACAGTAGTAGTTTCTATTTTTGAACGTGAACAACACAGCGGTGGTACAAACATTTTTTCATATTCGCCTTTTAAACTTCTGCTGTTTCGGCTGTCTTTAACTGAACTATAGTTTCTGCCGTGGCTACTTTTATACTTAAATCATGCTGATCATAGCAGAACCGATACTACGTCTTACTTTAAACGTTTAGTCGGCGTAAGTGGCCATATAATTCTAGTCTTGCAGCTTCTTTCTTTTATCCATCATATTTTGCTGAGTCAAGCTCTTCTTGAATAGAGGATTGAGTGTTAATGTGCAGGGTGTAGAAATGATTACTGGAAACTGCCACCAAATGAACTGGATGTTCGCACTTAGAACAAAGTTCGAAATATCTACATCAAATCAAATTATGCTTGTTTGCACCTGAAGGAACTGACCTGTATTCGATTAACACGTTTATTTGGCCACAAGATTTGCCTGATCTAACGCCAGCAGTTTTCTACTGCTTCATTAAGCAGATTATTTCAGTTCAATAAATGGTCTAAAATTATTTAATTTCAGATGATACCTACCAATAATTCTTCTTGAAAGGCAAAGCTGCGTTCACATCAAAAAGTTCTGACCATTCCCATTTTTGTTCAGTGAATGTGTGCTACTCTTCTTTGGTTCAGTAGATTATCTTGTCATTAAATTTACTATTCAAAATTAGGACTAACTAGTAGACTTTTGACAGGGAATTTGATTGAAAATCTTCATTCTATCAGGCAGATGAGTATGGATTTTCTGCTAAGTTTCCTCGATTTTTGGCGCAAATTTTACAGCAAGAATTGACTAGTTTTTTGTCGGTTGCAATTGGCCCTGCGTCGAGAGCTGGACAAGTAATTTAAAAATATCCGTTCTTAAAATTGGGACCACAAATAAATCAGTTTTATCCTCCATTTAAAAGGGATATATTCACCTATCAGATTTGTAAGTGCGCATTGTTTTTGGTATATTTTTCGAATTTTGGCTATATGTTCAAATGTTCTTTTCACAAGTTAAGGGCGTTTCAATTTATTACTCAAATTGATCGAAAAGTTTGCTTTCTATCAAGTAAGTGTCGCATATCGGGAGAACTTCCTCAATTTTTGGTATATTTTTAAATGCCAAACTGAGTAGATTTTAGTTGATTGCAATTGACTTTGAGTCACGACACACTGAATTTTTTTTAATTAATTAATAATTTTTTAATGCGAAACCAAGACCAGCTATAAGCCTGCTGAATAAACCGTTTTGACGACCAATCGTCACACTATCAGACGCATCAATGGGAATTTTCCCGTTTTTTTTTTTTTAATTTTGGCAATATTTTAACTTGAGAGTGTGCTACCCACTTCCCAGTATGCAGGATAAGTTCCTTTTTAGTAAATTATTCAAAATGAGAATTAACTAGTCGCCTTTTTATAGAGCTTTTGATAGAGAAGTATCCGCTTTATCTAGTAAGGGCCGAATATCTGGAGATATTCCTCAATTTTTGGTACATTTTTAAAATGCAAAATTGACTAGATTTCAGTCACAAAATTTCCTTTCAAAATTCCTTCCGTAAAACCTTGACCAGCTAGAAGCCTGTTTTACAGACGGTCAAGAAGATCAATCTTCACACTATCAGATACATAAAAGGAAATTTTCCCCTTACTTTTTTTTGAGTTTTGGCAATATTTTTACTTGAGAGTGTGTCACGCGCTTCCCAGTTTGCAGGATAACTTCCTTTTAAGTTAATTATTCAAAATGAGAATTAACTAGGAAATTTTTTATAGAGCCTTTGATAGAGAAGTATACGCTCTATCAAGTAAGTTTCGCATATCTGGAAACTTTCCTCAATTTTAGGTATATTTCTAAAATGCAAAATTGACTAGATCTCAGTCAATTGCAACTGACTTTGCATTACGGCAAGCTGAAAAAATTCCCTTTGAAAATTTCTTCCGCAAAACCTAGACCAGCTAGAAGCCTGTTTTATAGAGCGTTAAAAAGATCAATCTTCACACTATCAGGCGCATAAATGGAAATTTTCCCTTTATTTTTTTTTTAATTTTGCAATATTTTTACTTCAGAGTATGCCACCCGCTTCCCAGTTTGCAGTTTAAGTTCCTTTTAAGTTAATTATTTAAAATGAGAATTAACTAGTGGCCTTTTTTATAGAGCCTTTGATAGAGAAACCTCATCGGTTGCGTCAATCTGGTAATTTTGATCAACTTTTGGTATATTTTTAAGGTAAACCAATTGATTTTGTATCACGCTAGCAAAATATCTTTCGAAATTTTCTTATGCAAAACCAGGTCCAGCTAGAAGATAGTTTTATAAACCGTTAAAAAGAACAATGTTCACCCTCTCTTTTCTACCTTTTCAAGGGTGAAATTTTTTGGAACCTTAATTTGAGTGGGCCACTATCCTTCCATTTTGCAGGTTAATATATTTTTAAATTTATTACTCAAAATGAGGACGAACTACTAAACTTTGATATAGATAATTGATAGAGAAATATCTACTCTATGAGGTGGAAAGATTTGATTTTCTACTGACTATCCCATATTTTTCGTAATTTTTAACATTGCAAGATCAACTAGATTTTAGTCGGTTGCAAGTGATTTTACCTCATTGGAAAAATGTATTTCGAACATTGCTTGCGCATCCTGACACCCAGCAGTAAAGCTGTTTTCTAGACCATTTGGAAAATCAAGTTTCACTCTCTCAAAATTATGCGCGTCACTTTTCCCGTGACTTTCTTCCATTTTTGGCAATTTCTCGAAGTGAGAGTGTGTCACTCTTCTCTCATTCTGGTCAATCATCAACATTCAATCTTTGCATTATTTTTGTTTCTTTTTCTTTCAGTAGTTTCTTCAATCATCTCCCCCACCTTCTCATCCTTATCTGTAATGCGTGCTGATTTTCCATCGCTATTCTCTACTTCTAATTCAGTTTTATATTCTTGTAAAGGGTGCATCTCAGAAGCTGAACGACTTTAATTAATACGATGCCTTCTTCAGTGTCACGCTTCCTTCAAAGCGTCCAATTAAACTTTTTTATGCAGTGACTATTTTATGGTCTTCTGTTCTTCCTCTGGTAGAATTTTCGGTCGCTTGTGCATCATTTCCTTTGCTGTTTTAGGAGGAATCATTCCCATATGTTTTCAGATCTCCAGGTTCTCTTTTCATTCAGGCACTCTTGCAGCCCACTGCTTTTCCCTGGCTTGCTGCCCAAAAAAAGCAGCTGCTTTCTAAGTTGGAAATAAGTCACTAAGTTAGATTCTTTCTACACCAATTTTTGAACATTATTAAATCATTCAAGTGAAATCAGCCACATAAGTATTACAATCTACGGTTGAGTAGCCAACCAACACCCTATATAAACCCGAATATATCTAAACAATTTAAGAAATAAGAAAATTATAAATTGCAAATGTAAGACTTAAAGCTGATGAGCCACCAAATCGACTTTAAGAATTATTTATTATTTTATCAGGTGCCTTTTATAAGTTCGTCATTCTAGAACAAAAGCGTCTGGGATTTTGTTTCCAGGCCAAGGAACGGCCACAAAAGATAATGTCAGAAATCTATTTAACATCAGCGATTCAAAGGTCCCTGGGTTATCGTGACCCAGACTGAAAGTTCACCCTCAACCGTCCATTATAAATTCCGTTCCAAAGCTGGGTATTTTTTTCTACTTGAGCCATTAATTTCTCACAGACAAAAGTGGCAAAATGGAAACGGGTGAATCTATTTTCATCAGTCGAACTTTGGCTATTTATAATGTGGAGTTGAAAAATGAACCGATCGTCAAATAATCGAAATCTACAACCATCAGGGGCATAATTCTGCGTCTCTGTTGTTTCAGGTGGTCGCATAGATCATGCCCATCATTACAACAACGCTTATCGAGCTCTGGATGAAACTCTTGCGATGGAAACTGCAGTTTTGGCTGCTCTAGCTATGGTTAATCCGACCGAGACTCTGATCGTGGTAACATCGGATCATTCGCATGTTTTAACTCTTGGTGGACAAGCTACTCCTAGGGGTCATCCGATTCTTGGTAAGTTTAAAAGTGGTCTCAAAAACGGACGGTGAAAACAGTACAACATAATCACATAAAATGACAAGAAACAAAAACAGTTCAAGCACAAAAGGTATCAAAGTCAGCTACTTAACTGTGTTGTGCAGATTTGTCTTCAAGCTAATTCTTTTTGTACTTTGAAAATGTAAAATTTATTGACTTCAGAAAACAATCGCAGTGCTTTATTAGTAACGAAAGTTTGAGAATATTGAAGGAAAAAGTGAAAAAAACGGGTAAAAATAAATATCAAATACATTCAAAGAAACATTAAGAAATAGAAGGTTGCTAAAAAAAGGCCACTAAACACCTGCAATAAGCAGAGTTGAAAACGTTTTTATATAATTTCAGTTTTAAAAAATGTATTTTCATTGTTGGATATTTGTCTGGCTGACTGATTAGTGTGTATAAATAATCCTGTTTTATTCGGTTTTTCTTGTGATAAGGGTGCACTATTATTCAGCACCTGGTAAAAAAGACTATCCACGAATTTCATTCTCATTTTCTCTCCCGGTAATACTTGGCGATCTTATGTGTCTTCTGTTACCGCCTGTTTCCTCCTAGCTTCCACGCATCTTAACACTGATTTTTCAACGTGAATAATTTGATTTCCAGGTCCGGATAGTAAAGTCTCCGATGTGGATGGACAACCGTACACGACTCTATTATATGGAAATGGGCCTGGATTTGCCACTCCAAGAATCGTTCCCATGAACACATCGTCCGCAATGGAGGATAAGAACCAGGTGCATGGCTCAGCTGTGCCCAGGCAATGGGGCACTCATGCTGGAGAGGATGTGCCCGTTTACGCTCTGGGTCCTTTAGCTACGACTTTATTCGCAGGTGAGGAATTGTTTTAATAACAGCCCTCTAACGCTTCTTGCTTTGCTAATTGCGAATATTTTAAGCTAGTATTGCCTGAATGCGCATGAAGTTCTGGAGAAAAAAACAGAGCGTTTCAACAATTATAAGCAAAAGCGATTAATAGTGGATAAATGTATTACAAAAATTAACACTGAAGTCAATTAAAAGTTATTCTTTATTTCTTTGTAAGCTTGTTTTGAAAAAAATGCAAAAAGTAATATCAAATAGATTAGGGTTTGAAAATCCAACAGTCCAACAAACAGTTGCATGTTATAAAAAGTGTAATTGTTCTAAAAGCTACAAGCAGTGAATGTTGAAAGCCAAATTTTATTTCAATTTCATTTATTCACGGACTAAGCGAATTTAAATTTACAAACAGTTTGAAAACAATTTTTAATTTTGATAACTATCCGTAATTGACATATAAACTATTTATCACATTCTTAAAGTTATTAAGGCTAAGTGCAAAATCGAGGTTAAGTGGATTTGCCTCTCTACAGATTCTATCTATAGGAGAATTAGATGCATACTTTGTCCTGTGAAAATTTACATAAAACGTGTTGGTATTTCTAGTTGATTTCAACAGAATTAAAACATTAAATAATAATAGCGCCTTGGGGCAGTTTACCATGTTGTTTATCAACTTATACAAAAATACCAGGTCAAATTTGATTATCCTAACTTCAAGTGATTGTAAATTAAAAAAATCTCTCAACATTTCAGAACTAACATCCACAAGTTAAATATTTGATTTGTGAGCTATGACTTTTTCTTTGTCATGAATGTATTTAGAATAATATGGTGTCCAAATAGTTGTACAATATTCTAAATTAGATCTCACAAGGGCAAAATAAAGGCTCTTGATACAGTCAATATTATGAAAATCCTTCAAGTTTCATTTCAGGAATCCTACCAACTATAAGGATCTATTAATTTGCTTAAGAATATGATCATTAAAACAAAGTTTAGAATCATACATGACACCTAAATTTTTAATAGAATTGACACGTTCTAAAAAAACATTTTGAATGTGATACTGGTTTAAAATTCGATTTTCATTTCTATAAAAGGTCAAGGATTTGCCTTTTTCAGCATTCAGTTCCATACCATTTTCTGTACACCAGCTTTCTATATTTCCTAACAAGCCTTGTACTAATTTACAATCACTTAGAGATTTTACAGTATGGTAAAATTTTAGCTCGTCCACAAACATAAGAAATTCTGTTCCATTCGGAGCGATATGAATATCATTTATAAAAGAGTTAGAAATAATTGTCGACAAGTTCCCACCCTGAGGCACTCCCGAGGGTATGTCAATAGGATTTGACAATACATTGTACAACCTTAGAAACTGCTTTCTATCCGATAAATAGTCAGACAGCCAATTTAACATAGTACCATGCAGACTCAATGCTGACATTTTTTCTTACAAAATACTATGAGGAACCCTATCAAATGCTATAGAAAAATTCGTATAGATTCATGTACCTGAAGGCCTTTCTCTAAAGCGCCCAAAACATCGGACTGAAAACATAATAGGTTCGTCATGGTCGACCTACCCTTAGAGAACCCATGCTGTTCGTTTACAATAAAAGGCTGAAAAAAATGCACAAAATACTTACTCATGAGTTTTTCGAAAATCTTAGAAATTTGCAAAATCTTAGAAACAGGCCTGTAATTTTTCACATTATTGCGTTCACCGCTTTTGAATATGGGAGAAACATACGTCCTTTTACAATATTCTGAAAATTTACCCTCATTTAAAGATTGGTTGAATAGTATAAACAAAGGTTCCGTTACAATAAACTTGCATTCCTTCAACAGAATTGCCGAAATTCCGTCCGGTCCGCAAGAAGCTTTTATATCAATGGATGACAAACAGTTTAAAATTTTACTTCTATTCAGGCTACAATTCGAAAAAGTCTCATTCGATTGGCAGTGAGCAGCTGCGGTGTTGCAATTAATTTTCTTCTTTGAATAAACTTGAGAAATTTTCAGAAAAAACATTGCTATTTCTTGCGTATCACTGGATAAAGATCCTTCAAAATGCATACAAGCAGGAAAGCCATTAATTCCCTTTTTGTTATTTATATAGCTCCAAAATTTACTTGAATCATTCATGAATTCTAATTCAAGCGAGACAATATATTGAGAGTACCATTCATTAGTAACAGCTTTACACAGGTTTCTAAGATTTCTAAAATTTACATAGTCCACTTCTGCCCCAGTAAACTTGAATTTTATATGTGCAAGTTTCTTATCAACTATCAAGTTCCTAAGTTCTGCATTATACTAATTAGGAAAAGATTATTTATATTTTCTAGTTGAACTAGTTTATTTGGGACATAAGTATCAATAACGAATTGTAATATTTCATGAAACCTATCAACATTAACAAGGAAATCGTGATTTGAGAGTTCATCCGACCAATCAGCCAACGCTAGAGCATCATTAACTGAAATATAGTCTGCATTTTTTCAATTATAATCGTAATAATTAAAGTTAAGCAAATTAGGCCAATCTTCAGGGTAAATATCGAACGAGATTGCCGGGTGCTGAATATCACAGCTTAAAATGGCATCAATAGCTACTGTGGTTTTTAGGTTAGGTAGATTCGAGAATACTAGGTCTAAAATTACATTATTGGCATTTTTAATATAATTTGTTTGAGATAAATTCAAGAACGCAAAAGTGTCCCATATTGTTTGCGCTTTATCACCCACAGAACCAGTAACCGTGACTCCGAACTTGTTGTTGTAGTCCACCAAAATTATCAAGATAGCTTCCGGAAATTTCTCAGCTTCATCTACGGCCTCAACATGACTCATATATACATCCATATTTGCATAGGGTGGAATGTAAGTCACTCCAAATAGATCGTTCTTTCCAAGATTAGAAATGGTAAAAAAAAGTTGTTCCGCAAATTTGCACTTAACAGACAGGAATTGCAGACAATCCAGCCTTTACAAGAGCCATAACGCCGCCACCTCTCTTGAATGGGCTAGTATGTTCATTTCCGTCACATCGGAAAACGTTGTAGCCTGATAAAGCAAGTTCAACATCAAGCACATCATCTTGCAGCCAAGTCTCAGACACCAAAATAACATCGTAGTCACTACTCAGCACCGAACTCGAAAACTCCTTTAGTTACGCCCTCGTATGTTTTGATAATAACAAGATATAGGGCTTCGTATTGATGCTGTTACTGATCTGTGCCTAAAAAATCATCATTGAGAGTGGCTTGGTTAGGAATAGTAACCTTATTACGTGACCGGAGCTGCCAGCCTACTGACTCTTGATCTGTTTGACTGCCTTTAGTTCTAGCTTTTCTAAAGTTAAAAAATTCACTCAGTGTAACCCTCTCCGGCAATCCATTTCCTAGCAAGGCAACCTGCAAGTCAGCCCTCCTTACACCAATCTTGAAGGAGCAGCAGAGGAGTCTTTGTTCTCTGTTAGTTTAAAACATTTCATGTCGTTCAAATCGAAGAACTTAGACACGCATCTGACCATCTTATACACCGTGTATCCGGGAGCAATCGGGCAGACATGGATCCACCTCCTCTTCTCGGCAGCAGCAAAGATGAAATCATTCAAACCAGGGTCAATATCCGTATTTTTCTCAATTTTTTTGAGCCAATAACTGATATTTTATTCGAACCACGCTTTTGCTTTCGCGTCATTGATTGTGAGCGCTATTTACTTGCTGGAGACTTATTGATTCCGGATTTGCTTGGCCTTTCTGCAGGATTGAAGAATAGGTAATATTTTTATTATTGTTTTGATGAAAAGTACCATCCCATTTATGACAGTTGATACTTTCTGACGCTCCGGCTCCAGCATTTGGTGGCGTTGGAGCGGGCAGCGCTGCCAACTTTGTACGGGGTATTTTACCTACTTTCAGCTTATCATGTGGGCCACTTAAACTATTCTGCATAACGTTGAACGGAGATAGAGAATATGATGACGATGAATTTGCACTTCTAGGACGTTGTGTTTTCTGACTTTGTCCCTTTATCAAGGATAACTCACGGGTTAATCTGATGATATCCTCATTCATACTGAACAGTTCACATTATATAAAGCGATAATTTCAATCAAGAGAAAATTAACTTTGTTACACTCAAACGTGGTAAAGTCCACGCAATCAGCAGGCGAAGCAGAATGATCCATGATTCCAGGGCCCGAATTTGCTTTTTTCCGACACTTCTATCCGGACTTTTCAGTCAAACCAGCAGAGCGCTTCAACGGGTCAACCGCCAGATCCGCCATCTTGCAGTTTGAAGATTTAAGTGGAATTACCTGTGAGGTAATTGCTGAACTTGATTTTGCTTTTCCTCTACCTACATCAAATTCAATAAATCTGCTAAATGCCCTGCCAATGTTAACCAAAATGCTCACTTGATTCAGTTCGAAAAAAATTTCGGATAAGAGTAACCCTACGCCCGATAACTTTTTTCGTATTATCTCCCAGAAATATTACAAACTACCCACATACCACGTCGCATCCAGAATTGTTCGTAACACTTTAAATTGAAATCGTTCCAAAATTTCTATATTTGAATTTGAAGCTGTCCCCCACAGCTGCATTCTGTACGTCCAGACTGGTTTTAGCATCACTTTGTATAATAGTAGTTTATCCTCGGTTGCTAATTGTGTTATAACTAAGGAAATAACTCGGCAGTTGTTTCCTTTTCGTGAAAATCTGAGAACACCATGCCATGCGCCGACCCAAGGGCAAGCCCAGGTACTTGGCTTCCCTGGCTTGAGGTATTAGCAAATTATTAAGGTGAACAATTCTGTCTACGCATGGTAAAAGTTACTTGTACACTTTTAGTTTTATTGGCCTTAATTCTGCATTTCTTTAGCCAGCCTGTACCGGTGTTAAGTTATTCTGCAGGACGTCAGACGCAACTGTCGGATTTGTATGTGTTGGTAAAACTGCAGAATCGTCAGCAAATGTGGCAATGGTCATAAAATTT